GAGAGAGTGGAGAAGAGCTCCAAAATTCGTCCAAATGAAGTGGGAAAAATGAACCCCGAAATTATATCTATAGGCCCAGATTTCTGAGTTTCGGATGCTGCTCTGGATGCTATGGCAGCACTTCACTGCCAGCCCCTTTTTCGGATGCGGCTCCGGATGCTTCGCATCCGCAGTCTCCTCTGCCAGCCTTTGGTAATTTAGTCATAACTTCTTGTAGAAATGTCCAAATGACGAACGGTTTGAAGCGTTAGAAACTAGACTCGAAGATATTTTATTTGATAGGTTGTGCATCACATAACACCTTATATATATGTAGATAATCTCGTTCTAAGTTAGGTCTTATGCCGAAACATAACAAATCGATCCGGAATGACCTCAAATTTTGCACACAAGTCGTAAATGACATAACGAAGCTATTCAAATTTTCGGAATTGAAGTCCAAGCCCGATACATCAAGGTCAACTCTCAGTCGACATTTTTCTTAAAATCTTCCATTTTTTAACTTTCACCAAAATGCGTCGAATTCTCCTACGGACTTCCAAATCCAAATCCGAACATATGCCTAAGTCTGAAATCTCCATACGAATCAAAACCGACGATTCACACAAGTCATAATACATCATATGAAGCTATTCAAGACTTCAAATAGTTGGAAGGAGAGTAAATGTTCAAAATAATAAGTCGGATCCTTACATATAATGATAAAATCAACAATCAACAAATGATTTTAAAACCTAAATTTAAAAACCTCAACATATAGACTTATTGAAGCAATCCTTGAGCTTCATATGATGTATTATGAAAGTAAAAGAAAAGTATTAAAAAAATATTCATGTAACATTAATAAAGAAGAGCTAAAGATATAGAGAATTTGTATTTCAATTATGAGATTCCTTGTCAAATATCAAGATGCTTGTACTCTCTAAACAAACGGAAGTCATTCATATAATTAAGAGACTATGTCACGAAAAATTATTTAAAAATTTGAAAAAAAAAATTTCTAAAAAAATTGAAGGGCCGGCACGTCCTAGCCCAGACCCTCTTAGGACTGGATTAAGCTTGTCATTTTTAGGCTCATTTAGATGACAGGTCCACCCGCCTTAGCCCACCAAATTTAAAAGCCTGTCTGGGTTGGATTGGGTTGTGTTGGCCGTTTTGACAGCTCTACACTTCGGTCATTACAGCAATAATGCATGACAAGGATACATGTATTTGGATGAAGTCCTCGTTAGCCTCAAATTTTCTACATTCATTACTCTCTCTCCGAAAGCGTAAATCATACCCTTTCCGGTCCACCTTAATTGACTTTTTGATATTTTTATTAGTTCACAATATTTGATTTTTTCAAGAAAGAATTAACTTGTTTTTTTTTCAAAGTTACCTTTGGAGTAAAGAGTTTGAGAGTATTTATTATATTGTCAATGAACAAATTAAGGTTAATATGATTAATTTCAATATTAATTAATGCTAAAATATAAATTTCTTAATATGTGTGAAACAATCAATTAATATAATGTGCGGATACCACACATGCATTAGGTATCATAACACCTACGTTGCTGCGAGAAAATTGCATGTTTTGTCAGTGAATTTGTTAATTAAATCATATTATTAGTAGATCCCCTATTTCATTTATGTCAGCCTTTTACCGGATATATAGTTTAAGAGAAATATATAGATTTTTAAAATTTGTAATCTTAAAAAAACTATGGTAGTCCTTAAAAGCTGGTAAAATCATACACCCTCTATAAAATCACCTAAATTATAGAGACCATAGCCCGTCTATAAATCACCCTCTAGAGAAAAGTGTCCATCTCTTTTAAATATATTTCAAAGAAAATAATGTTACATAAATTAGAACGGAGAAAGTAATAATTTGCCTCAAATTTTTTTGGTCTAAATTTAGCTCTTCATGTGCTTGGGGTTGGATCAGACTTTGGCTATAAATGGGGAGAGGAGAGTCTTATGACACTCACTTCGGAAACTATGTCTATATTTTTTATCGATCTTCCCGATCGAGGCAATTCCAGAATTTAAAGTTTAGGGGTGCACTTTTGAATTCAATCAAAATGTGTTTTGTATATAGGGTGTCAACTACTAATATATTGTTATTTTCTAAAGACATACATGTATACATGTAAAATTTACCGAACTTTACGGATGTCGATAACCCCTCTCGATATAGCATAGGTCCGCCTCTGATTTACGAAGGGACACGAGGAAATTCCTCTATGTAATTAGTTTTAGCAGTTACACGTTAAAGTATAAATACATATTACTTTACCATAGTTAAGACCAAACATGTGTATGATTGACATACATCTTGCATTCATTAATTAATTTGATTTGATGCGATTAAATTTTTTAAGGATAGAGTTTTTAGTCCAAGTTGAGCTAGTGTAACTCTTATAGTCAATTGGACTCTCTATTACTAGATACTATATCAGTTCAAAAGACACCAATATTGTATTTTAACAGAAGGAGGCAAATAAGAAATTGCAAATTCTCAATTCTTTTTAATTATATCTAATGAACCAAAAGGAGGAAGAGGAGCTACATATTGGATTTATAAATATAAAGCTAGCTGAGGCTCAAATAATTGTGGATGCAATACAAGCAATTTACTTAAAACACGAAACAGAAGAGGATTTCGGTCAAATATCGACACCTAAGTTTTGAAATACATTACTGAACAAATTATGAGATCATAGACTAGTAATTTAGGATATTATTCTGTGATTGACTTGATTTTGCACATGAAGAAACGTGAACGGCTTTCTTTTTAGGGCTGCCGTAGAATTGATCAAAACATATCTCAACATATTAAAATAGGGTCTCAACTAAACCGGATTCATGCGGAATGAGACCCATTTAAAAGGAGCAGTGGTTCCTATTCAAAGAATTAGATACATTTCTACATATTTTTAATTATGAAAATTACTCCTATACTAATTTGTGTGGTTTTAATCGAATATGTAAATTTTATTTGAAAATAAAATAAAAAATCACAGTCCAACTTTAATCATAACACTCAAATTAAATTCAGCTATCTTTCTAGGACATAGGAAACATTATCAGTGGAAATATTATATTATATCCATAAGACTTTAGCAAATCCTATAAGAAGTCTAAACATGTAATTGACTACTTTTAGAAGACGCACTTATCTAACCCAAGAAACACCTGGCGTAACTCGAATTTGCTTTTGCCAAAACCAAAAGTCTAGGAATTAAGCTCCAAATTAAAGACATAGATTTTGGCTTACTTTTTTTCAAAAAAAAAATAAAATTAAAAATTAAAATATTTTTTGTTCATGTAATTTAATCAGTTTTTGGGTGAAATTTTTTCTTCCACACACAAGATTTTAACTTTTTTCCAAATAAAATACACGTCGAAACATAAATTCAAATTTCAGAACTATTTTTCAACGTAATTTTAAAATTTTTATTTTCTAGTTTTAACTAAATCTATGTCCTGATTAAGTCTCCAGTCTTAACTCTTAAAGTATTGTAAAATACATGTCGAGAATTGTCTGGGATGAAGCTAAGAGCCGCCACTAAGAAAAAAAATCTAAAAATATATAAAAAGGTAAGAGCCGCCACATAATATATGTAACCTGTCGGCGTAATCTACTGAATTAATTTTCTGGATAAGAAAGATATGACTGAGCTCCGGTTTGCTCATAGATTTTGACTTTACTTTTTTAATTTCTTTTTGAAAATATTGTTTGTTTATAAAATATGATCATGTTTTAGAAAAACAAATTTCAAAAAACTTCAAGTTCCCAAAAGTTGTATGTCCAAACACAACTTTCAAAAATTATTTTTTAAAACAACTTTAAAAACTTTTTTTTTAAATTTTAATTAAATCTATGTCCAAACTAGCCGAAATTCGAGCCTTGGTTATTCAACCAATTGATTTGGTCAGAAAGTCAGTCCTCTCAACAACTAAAATAGACATTAATTAAGCCATGTCTCCAGCATCTTCCTTAGCAATAAATACCTTGCATTTCACCAGTTTACTACTACATTAAAATGAGGCTTTGTAAATTCACAGCTCTCTCTTCTCTACTATTTTCTCTCCTACTGCTTTCTGCCTCGGCAGAACAATGTGGTTCCCAGGCCGGAGGTGCGCGTTGTCCCTCGGGTCTCTGCTGCAGCAAATTTGGTTGGTGTGGTAACACCAATGACTACTGTGGCCCTGGCAATTGCCAGAGCCAGTGCCCTGGTGGTCCCACACCTACACCCCCCACCCCACCCGGTGGTGGGGACCTCGGCAGTATCATCTCAAGTTCCATGTTTGATCAGATGCTTAAGCATCGCAACGATAATGCATGCCAAGGAAAGGGATTCTACAGTTACAATGCCTTTATCAATGCTGCTAGGTCTTTTCCTGGCTTTGGTACCAGTGGCGATACCACTGCCCGTAAAAGAGAAATCGCGGCTTTCTTTGCTCAAACCTCCCATGAAACTACTGGTAAGTCTAGTTACGTTGAACTATATGATCGTCTTATTCAAAAGTTTAATCAATTAGAGAGATCATACTTTTATTTAATCATACTGGTCTATTCTGATTTCATGAGACAAACACATAGAACTTCCTTTTAAAATGATTGCGCTGAGACTTGAATTCAGGACCTCTATCTGCTCATCACTGGAGTATCCAATTTTGAGATATCACAATGCTTCTTAAATTTCGAAGTTTTTTATAAGCTGACGCGTTCAATAATTGACCATGTAACCGTTGACAGGAGGATGGGCAACAGCACCAGATGGTCCATATGCATGGGGTTATTGCTGGCTTAGAGAACAAGGTAGCCCCGGCGACTACTGTACCCCAAGTGGTCAGTGGCCTTGTGCTCCTGGTCGAAAATATTTCGGACGAGGCCCCATCCAAATTTCACAGTAAGTTCCTTCTTACCCACACGGAGTGTTTACACCAAAGTCGTGGGACGGAATGCTTACTACCTACTATATATTTCATTGTGAGAGTAGGTACACAATATCATGATATTTCTATGATTATAAGAGTATGTGATTAATTTCTATGAGAAGTGTAAAGTTAAATAGTTTCCACAACACAAAAAAAATGTCATTTTTTTAACAGATTAAAAAAGAAAAAGTATATGATGAACTTGTAGGATCTAATTAAGTGTATTTTGACATAAATACAGCAACTATAACTACGGGCCTTGTGGAAGAGCCATAGGAGTGGACCTGCTAAACAATCCTGATTTAGTGGCCACAGATCCAGTCATCTCATTTAAGTCAGCTCTCTGGTTCTGGATGACTCCTCAATCACCAAAACCTTCTTGCCACGATGTCATCATCGGAAGATGGCAGCCATCAGCTGGTGATCGCGCAGCCAATCGCCTCCCTGGATTTGGCGTCATCACAAACATCATCAATGGTGGCTTGGAATGTGGTCGTGGCACTGACTCAAGGGTCCAGGATCGCATTGGGTTTTACAGGAGGTATTGCAGTATTCTTGGAGTTAGTCCTGGTGACAATCTGGATTGCGGCAACCAGAGGTCTTTTGGAAATGGACTTTTAGTCGATACTATGTAATTTCATGATCTGTTTTGTTGTATTCCCTTGCAATGCAGGGCCTAGGGCTATGAATAAAGTTAATGTGTGAATGTGTGAATGTGTGATTGTGACCTGAAGGGATCACGACTATAATCGTTTATAATAAACAAAGACTTTGTCCCAATATATGTGTTAATGAGCATTACTGTAGTTGGTTTAATTCGGCACCAGATAAATAGATAACCACCCGCACTATTATATTTCATTATTTAGAAAACCGAGATCTTTATTTGAGTGAATGAAAATCTTCCTAACAGATACATAGTCATACTAATCAGTCAAAAAAAAATCTAACCTCAAAATTTAAGCATCCGAGCTGCAGCCACCGTCTCTGATTTTGAGTCTTGAATTATGGGAACCAAACTGTATCATCATACTAGGGATAAAAACTATCAACTGCACAAGATATATATGGAAAATCATTATTAAGTTTGCGCAATTACTTCTAGGAAAATAAAAAGGAACAGAAAAAAGAAAAACAAGAAGGTAGATGTATCATGTATGTTATTGCAAAGGTAGTAAACTCTTTAATTAAGCCTTCAATCAGATTCTTTAGTATAGTGCTTACCCAAGCAAGGCGGACGCAGAACGAGTTGAATCCCGGATAATTGAAGGGAGCCCTCTCAGATAAAAATAAATCTACAGGGAAAGAAAATACAGTTAATTAATTTGACATCAGACAAGCTGCAAATCCAACAGAGTCAGTGTGCTATTAGAAATACAGCTAATTGCAGCACGCAAAATTTAAAGGGGTCACAAGTAAACAGATTAATTTCTCTTTATGTCACATAACCTGCTCCTTGTATGACTTGTTCTAGCTTGTTTAAAGAGATGGTTTATTTGACAATCAACAGCCCGTAGATTAATAATACACTAATTAACCTCATAAAGCATGGATGAAACAGCAAATTGTCGCAATAATTAAGATACAAAACTTTGATATATAAAGCTTCAACTTACCTGTTAGAGGAGTATATATTAATGGAGAAAGAATATTGCCGAATGAGCTTATTCCCGCAATGCACCCTTGAGCAATTCCCTATTACGTTAATAGTGATATATAGCACTCTTTAGAAAATACTGATCCAACACGAAAATAAAGGTAAATGATCATAATAAAATGCATTGTTAATTAGAAACATCTAAATTGTTCACCTGCTCATTTGGCCCAACTTGTTTCGAAACAATGCTTTGTAACTACAATTTATAAACACTTGATCAGATCTAATAATCGATACAACTTATAATAAGCGTTTAACTTTCTGGAAGTAACAAGGAAAACTCACAGCCGGTCTTGTTAGGAAGGCAATGATAGGCAATAAATTAGCAACATAAGGAACCTGAAACCATGAAAATGTTAAAACATAAAGAATATCAATATCTTGAAATTTGAAGTATACTAAAATGAAAAAAACAATGTGTTTGGCTGTTAAAAAGCTCGAGCTTACCCAGACTGCCCATGCAATGCTATCAATTAGCATCTGTAGAACAATAAAAACTATCTCAATACGTTATTATTAATTTATTAGTGCGCGTGCGTTACACAGAGGTAATTGAAACGTAGATAAATTCCAAGAAGCACATACGTTTATGAATCCAGCAATGAAGGCTAAGGAGAGAATTGCCTCCTCTCCGATTATAGGAGCCAACCGAGGCATCAAGAATAACTGCATCAAGGTAACACACAGTATTTGGAAAATAAGGGTTAGTATGCGCTGAACTTTATCCACTATAATAGCAAGTTACAAAACTTTATTTGTCACATTAAAGAAATAACTAAAATTTTCTCAATATAACGGTAGATTCACTAAACTTTCCCCGTAACAACAGTGTAGTCACTATTTTTCTGTCATTTCAAAGTAGCTGAACTCTACCCATGTTTATAATAGTAAAGTCACTAAATTATCCACTATAACAACTAGACCTATCACTTGTGGTGACTTTAATGTTTTAGTGGATAAAGTTCTATTACTTTTATAGTAGGTGAAATTCATTTCATTTAATATGACACACAAATATATTTAGTGATCACTTTACAGTTATATTGAGTAAAGTTTTATTAATTTAATATGTTAAAAAATAGTTTTGTGACTTTATTGTTATAGTGAATAATAAAATTTAGTGAAAATACGTGAATTCATAGTGTTAGAAGACATGTGCGACAGAATGTACCACTTATTCCAGTTATAATAGTTGAATTATGTACTCTGTAAAGAAAACTCAAATATTTGAAAACGAACCTGCCCAATTGCTGCTCCACTGTAGCCAATAAGCATTAAAACAGCAAAGTTGTCTTTGTTGTATTGAAGTCGAGCCTTTAAGAAGTACTACAAGATATATAGTGAAACCAAAAAACTTCAGAAGTTAAGGAATCATCACTTTATGTGTTATTGACACTTCAGGGCGCTATAGAATGTGCACCAAAAATGGAGTTTGTTGTCCACCTTCGGCCTTCCCCATGACTATTCAAGAAAGCAAAGACTGTTGCTAGCGAAAGAGTTACGCTGCCACAAAAATTAAAAGGATGATGATAATATTTGCTTTCACGGGGTTTTACTCTAATTTGCTTGAACTCTACAAAAATGTCGTATTGTATCCTCCAAAATTGCACTATTTTGGCAAATCGGACATGCGCTTAATGTCAAATAATGGTAGTCTAATTAGCCATGTATTTGACGTCAAATTATTCAACCAAATGATAATATACAATATCTTACCTGCTCCTGAGCAAGCAGAAAATATCCTTGAGTGGTAGGACTTTCTTAAAGCTCTGTGATACTATTTTTGATGAGTCATTACTTCCAGATTGAGAACATTCTGCACCGCTCTCCCCTAATATTGGTTGATTTAGAGCATCATCACTGCGAATATGGTTGCTTGTCTCCTCTAGAAATATTCTCATGTATATTGCTGCAACCATTGAAGAAATTGCTGCCACCTTCATTATAGAAAAAAAAGAAAGAAACTAAGTAAAACAAATTACGTGTTTCCTGTATTATATTTTATATGATACTATCTGACCAGAGGCGAAGCCTGAATTTGAAATTTACGGATTCTGAATTTGCTACAAAACTCATAGCTTGTCTTAGTTATTAGGTTCGTAATTAAATATTTATACATATTTAATAAATTTCTCAATACAAATATAATATTTAAGTAAAAGTAAATGGGACCACTAACCAAAAAGATGTGAGCAGTGGAGAGGAAGTGAGCAGCCATAGTACCAAAAAGAGATGCAGCTGAGCCTATGCGGGGCAACAGCTCCAATTGCAGAAACACACTTTTCTTCTGATATGCTAGCTGCCTAGAAAATCTTGCATTAGAAAATTAAAGGAAGGAAGAGGGAAGTTGTTGTACTACACTAAATTAGGATTTTGAAAAGTTAATAATAGTAACAAATTACCGCATAAGCAATAGAAAGGCACTCAATTCCATTGTCACTGACCATGCCAGTGAAGGTCTTTATCGCATAGTAAGCATAGAAATAGTTTGTTGACCTCCCAATTGCCAATATTACTGCAAAACGTTTTGTTTAATTATCACTTTAGAGCCATCGGATCGGATCTTCAATTGAGTGACCCCAAGGACAGGATATGATAGCTGGATGCACAAAGCATCTCGTGTTTACGCAGGGTTGGGGAAGGAATGCATCCCAAGGGACGTGATGTAGACAGTCTACACTGATTTCACACTATAGGTCACATGGATACAGCTTTGACTGTTGCTCGAAAGCTCCTCTTCTAAGATAATTATTAATTACCTGACGGAACAATGAAGGCAGCCACCGGAACTGTGAGCAAAGCCTTCCTTCCATATATATCAGATAGATGTCCAAGCAATGGCAGCATCAGCTTTGATCCCAGTCCTAAGATCTGAAATCAGTAGAATCACTCTAGTCAGATAATGCATGCCTTGTGTTTGTCGAAATGACTAAATAAGCGAATAGGTTCTAAACTTGATTTTTGCGCAGTATAATTGTGTAAAAGGAATGAAGGAGAAAAGATAGAGGTAGTGGTACAGACAGCGTGCTGGAAACCAGAAAGATAAATGGCAAGAGAGCACTCGTCTTGAGCAGGGCAGAGTGCGCCAACGGTGATATCAGTTATAGCAGGAGGGATCACATTCAACGCAAAATTTGCTAGAAACACTGTCACAAACAGGTGATTCAAGTCGGCCAATTTATCTATTTGATTGTTCTTGTTGGATTGAGAAGACTAATTGGAGGTGTGAAGAAAGAAAAAAACGAAAGCAGACAACAAGTTATGCTTTCCTTTGAAAACGAAGAAATTCGAAACCAGTTGCATTGCCATGCTTTCAAAAGTAGTATATAGAACATGCACGTGATAAAAAATGGGGAATGCTACTAGTATTGTAGCACATGCAGCCAAACGTCTAAAACAAATACATTAAACTTGTATCAGCTTTTCACTTTACCACTTATTTTTTAGTTCGTTCAATATAGCCACTTTCCAACCCTTTAGTGTGTCACCTAAACACACTAAATGATTCCGGGCTACCGGATCTGAATTGCATAAAATTTTACGGGACCATAAAAATTGACCTAATAAACAATAGTCAAGGCTTCTTCATCTCTTTTGGCATTTTAGGGCTAAAAAACTTGAATTCAGGTCGATTTTCAAAATTTCATGTGCTATATCCGGGCGATTAGATCTGAACCGCCTAAAATTTTGCGGGACCAGAAAAAATAACCTAAGGAACAATAGTCATCGCCTTGCCATGACCATTTCTCATTTTTTGACATTTTAAGGCCATAAAACTAGAATTCTACCCGATTCCCATATTTTCGTGTGTTATATATAGCTCACTCCATCTGCATGCATCCGAGCGACTGGACACGAACCACCTAAAATTTTGCCGGACCATAAAAAATGACCTAAGGAACAATAGTCATCGTTTCGTCATGATCGTTCCTCGTGTTTTGGCATTTTAGGGCCATAAAACTGGAATTCTGCCTGATTTTTAGATTTTCGTGTGCTATATCCTACGCCATCTGCATGCATCCGGGCAACCGAACTCGAATCGCATAAACTTTTTTCGGACTATCAAAAATGATTTAAGAAAAAATAGTCATCTCCTCGTTATGATCATTCCTCATTTTTTTTTTGCCATTTTAGGGCCATAAATTTGGAATTTCACTCGATTTTTAGATTTACGTGTGTTATTATAGCTCATGCCATCTGCATCCGGGGACTAGACCCAAACCACCTAAAATCTTGTCGGACCATCACAAACGCTATAAGGAACAATAGTCATCACCTCGCCATGATCGTTCCCCATTTTTGAAGTATTAGGACCATAAAATTGGAATTTCGCTCGATTCCAAGATTTTCATTTGTGGCCCTAACACGCCAAAAATAGAGTAAAGGTTATGGCAAGGCTGTGACTATTATTCCTTTGGTTATTTTTGATGGGCCGGCCAAATTTTAGGCGATGCGGATCCGGTGGCTAGGGCCCATGCAGAAAGCGTGGGCTATAGTACACGAAAATCTGGGAATCCGACGGAATTTTACTTTTATGGCCCTAAAATGCCAAAAAATGAGTAACGGTCATGGAGAGGCGGTGACTATTGTTCCTTAGGTCATTTTTTATGGGCAGAAAAAAATTCTAGGCTATCCGGGTCCGGTGGCCTGGGCCCATACAGAAGCTGTGGGCTATAACACACGAAAAATTAGGAATTGAGCGAAATTTCAGTTTTATGGCCCTAAAATCCCAAAAAATGAGTAACGATCATGACGAGGCGGTGACTACTATTCCTTAGGTAATTTTTGATGGGCCGGCAAAATATTAAGCGATTTGGGTCCGGTGGCCCGGGCCCATGCAGAAGGCGCGTGGGTTAACACACGCAAATATAGGAATCAGGTAAAATTTCAGTTTTATGGCTCTAAAACGCCAAAAAACTAGTAACGATCATGGCAAGGCGGTGATCATTGTTTATTTAGTCATTTTTGATGGCCCGACAAAATTTTAGGCGATTCGGGTCCGGTGATCCGGATCCATGCAGAATGCGTGGGCTATATGCACATAAAAATATGGTAATCGGGCGGAATTCAAGTATTGTGGTCTAAAACGTCAAAAAATGAGTAATGGTCATGGCGAGGTGGTAACTATTGTTTCCTAGGTCGTTTTAGATGGGCAGGCATAATTTTAGGCGATCGAGGTCCGGTGGCCTAAGCCCACGCAGAAGGCGTGGGCTATAGCGCACAAAAATCTAAAAATCGGACAAAATTCCAGTTTTATGGCCCTAAAGTGCCAAAAAACGAGTAACGATCATGACGAGGCAGTGACTATTATTCGTTAAGTCTTATTTTATGGGCTGGCAAAATTTTAGCAGATCCGGTGGTCCGGGCCCACGATAATATGAAAATCGGGCAGAACTCCAGTTTTATCGCCCAAAAAAGCTAAAACATGAGTAACGATCATGGAAATACAATGACTATTATTCCTTAGGTCATTTTTTATGGGTTGACATTATTTTAGGCGATCTGGGTCTGCTGGCCTGGGCCGATGCACAAGGCTTGGGTTATAGCACACGAATTCTGGAAATCGGTTGAAATTCAAGTTTTATGGCACTATAACATCAAAAAATGAGTAATGTTCATGGCGAGGCGGTGACTATTGTTCCTTATGTCATTTTATAGGCCGGTAAAAGTTTAGACGATTCGAGTCAGGTGGCCCGGGACCATGAAAAAAGTGTGGGCTATAGCACATGAAATTCTAGTAATCGGGCGAAATTCTATTTTTATGGTCGTAAAACGCTAGAAAACGAGTACCGGTCATGGCGAGGTGGTGATAATTGTTACTTAGGTCATTTTTGATGGGCCAGCCAAATTTAGGCGATCTAGGTCCGGTAGCCCGAGCCCATGTAGAGGCATGGGTTACACAAAATCTAGAAATCGGGTGAGATTCCATTTTTATGGCCCTAATCACCAAAAAACGATTAACAGTCATGGCGATGCGGTGACTATTGTTTATTAGGTCATTTTTTATGGGACGATAAAATTTTAGGCTTTCCGAGTTTGGTGGTCCCGGCCCCGGCAGTTGGCGTTGGCTATAACACATGAAAATTTAGAAATTGGGCAGAATTTCAGTTAATTGCCCTAAATAAACTAGTAACGGTCTTGGCGAGCCGGTGATTATTGTTCCTTAGATCATTTTGGATGGGCCGATAAAATTTTAGACGATCCAAGTCCGGTGGCCGGAGCCCATATAGAAGGCGTGGGCTATAGAACACGAAAATCTGGGAATCGGGTGGAATTCCATATTTATGGCCACAAACGCCAAAATACGCGTAGCAGTCTTGGTGAGGTGGTGATTATTATTCCTTAGGTCATTTTTTATGCAAGTTGGATCCTTTGGTTCGGGCCCATGCAGAAGGCGTGGCTATAGCATATAAAAATCTGACAATCAATTAAAATTCAAGTTTTATCACCCAAAATCGTCAAACAATGAGTAGCGGTCATGGCTAGGTAGTGACTATTATTCATTAGGAGATTTTTAATGGCCCGACAAAATTTAAGGCGATCTGAGTCCGGTGGCCTAGGATCATGTTGAAGGTGTGGGCTATCGCACATGAAATTTGGGAATCAGGCATAATTTCAATTTTATGCCCCTAAAATGCCAAAAAATGTGTAACCATCACGGTGAGGTAGTGATTATTCTGTCTTTGGTCGTTTTTTATGGGCCGACATAATTTTAAGCGATCCGGGTCCGGTGGCCTGGGCTCATGTAGAAGGCATGGGCTATAGCACACGAAAATTTGAGAATCAGGCGTAATTCCAGTTTTATGGTCATAAAACACCAAAAAACGAGTAACGGTTGTGGCGAGGCCATGACTGTTGCTCTTTGGTCAATCTTGATGGGCTGACAAAATTTTAGGCGATTCGAGTCTAGTGGCCCGGGCGAAATTGTAGTTTTATGACCCTAAAATACCAAAAAATGAGTAACAATCATGGCGAGGTAGTGACTATTATTCCTTAGGTTATTTTTGATGGGTCGTCAAAATTTTAGGCGATCCGGGTCCGGTGGCCCGGGCTCATGCAGAATGATTGGGTTATAGCAAACAAAAATCTGGGAATCGGGTGGAATTCCAGTTTATGTCCCTAAAACGTCAAAAAATGAGTAATAGTCATGGCGAGACAATGACTATTGATTCTTAGGTATATTTTGATGGGCCAACAAAAGTTTAGGTGATCCGGGTCCGGTGGCCCTGGCCCATGCAGAATGCGTGGGCTATAACGCACAAAAATCTAGAAATCGGACAAAATTCCAATTTTATAGCCCTAAAATACCAAAAATGAGTAATGGTCTTGACGAGGCAGTGACTATTGTTCCTTAAGTCTTTTTTAAGGGCCGGAAAAATTTTAGCCGATCCCGGTCTAGTGGCCCGGGCCCATGCAGAAGGCGTGGGCTATAACATACGATAATATGAAAATCGGGCGGAATTCCAGTTTTATCGCCCTAGAAGGACAAAACACGAGTAACGATCATGGCAATGCGGTGACTATTATTCCTTAGGTCATTTTATATGGGTTGACATTATTTTAGGCGATCCGAGTCCGCTGGCCTAGGTCGATGCAGAGGGCATGGGTTATAGCACACGAATTCTAGAAATCGGTTGGAATTCAAGTTTTATGGCACTATAACGCCAAAAAGTGAGTAATGTTTATGGCGAGGCAGTGACTATTTTTCCTTATGTCGTTTTATAGGCCGGTAAAATTTTAGACGATTCGAGTCTGGTGGCCCGGGACCATGGAAAAAGTGTGGGCTATAGCACATGAAATTCTAGTAATCGGGGAGAATTCCATTTTTATGGCCGTAAAATGCTAGAAAACGAGTATCGGTCATGGCGAGGTGGTGATAATTGTTACTTAGGTCATTTTTGATGGGCCAGCAAAATTTACGCGATCTAGGTCCGGTGGCCCGAGCCAATGTAGAGGCATGGGCTATACAAAATCTAGAAATCGGGCGGAATTTTATTTTTATGGACCTAATCACCAAAAAATGATTAACAGTCATGACGATGCGTTGAATATTGTTCATTAGGTCATTTTTGTGGGACGATAAAATTTTAGGCGATCCGGGTCTGGTGGCCCAGGCCCATGTAAAAGACGTGGGCTATAGAACACGAAAATCTAGGAATCGGGTGGAATTCCAGATTTATGGCCCAAAACGCCAAAATACGAGTAGCGGTCTTGGTGAGGCGGTGACTATTGTTCCTTAGGTCATTTTTTATGCAAGTTGGGTCCTGTGGCCCGGGCCCATGCAGAAGGCGTGGCTATAGCATATAAAAATCTGGCAATCAATTAAAATTCAAGTTTTATCACCCAAAAACGTCAAACAACGAGTAGCGGTCATGGCTAGGCGG